CTCGGAAGCACAAAGAGGACGCGAGCGAGCCCGTAAATTATCCGTCGCGCCGTCCTCCCGGAATTTATGCGACCTCCTCGGGAAGGTGTCTAGACTCCTTTGGCGATTAAGACGCGGCGGCGGCGACGGCGGCCGGGGGGGAGGGGGAGGGGTGGGCGCGACCCTGTCGTTCGATCGATCGCCGACGATCGCCGAGTTTCAGGGAGGAAGTGCACCGCCACCCGACTCCACTCGAACGCTATTTTTCGACTACGCCCGTCCTTGCACGATCGCGGACACACGCGTTGCGAGTTGTTCCTCGGCATTATTATAATTGCAAAGCAGGTATAAATAGAAAATTCACGGAAGTGAGAGAGAGAGAGAGAGAGAAGTTCCTTGCTGTATTGCACGATCGATACGTTGATTATTCTCAGACGTTGTTCGTAAACATGTCAAGACTCGGTCGGGAGGAGAGTTATTTTATGCCTCGGGAATAAGACACGCGGCTACGGCTATAGTTGCAGGAATATTACCGTTTACCTTTCATCAATCGTTCATGCGCTCCACGTATTCGAAATATATACGCGCATTAAGAATACATGTGTTACATTCTGTAAGATTATTCTCTGAAACACCGTATTTTTCATTTATATATATATATATATATATATAATATACATCGTATCGTAATATATGTATACACCTCAGTGATCGCGACTACACGCGAAATCGCGCGTCTCTCCCGAGAACGTGATTGGCAGTATCGCCGCGCAATTCGTTCTCCTACGCCACTGACGCACTTCGACTGACCCTTATATGCATACGTGCTATTTACCATTAGATTACACCCCTCGTCCCATTCTCGTCTCTTTCCGCCTCTCTCTCTTTCTATCTTTCTCTGTCTCTCTTTCTCTCTCCCCCCCCCCCCCATGATCTTCTCCCTTTGTTCGCCGCTACGACTCCTCTGTTCCCGACGCTCGCCTATCTCTCGTATATCTCGTAATACCGAAATATATAAGGCGGCACGAACGAGGCCAATTATTTATCATCGCGACCGATGTGCCTATCGATCCTCGCTCACATCTACGACGTGACTCATTAAGGAATCGTTTGTTACACGCGCCATTCGTTAACCCCACGCCGTGATCGTCGCGACGAACAAATAGACCGACGCATGTGTGTTGATAAAAAGGGAAAAAAAAAGGATAGAAGGAACAGAAAATAACGATCGATAGACCTCGTGTATTCGACTACCGTACACACGGTCTTCGATCGCGGATGAGATCGCAGTCGCGAGATAATTTCCCGCCCACCGACGCGGACCCTTTTCATGTGCGGCGCGTTCGTGCGAATTTTACACGCCTGCTTTATCGTCCGATATCAGAGGACGCAAAGCAGCTGATACGAGGATACGGAATAAAATAGATGGAATTACAGCCCTATCGCGCAGTTACGGTAAATTTCGCTCGGGTCCGGTTTAAAACGACGAAATGTACGGCGAAACGAAACGCGTAGTGAGAATGTCGCGTGACTTTCATACGAGCGAATTTGCACGACGGCATAATTAATGGCGCTAATCGCGCGGTCGGGGGTGCGGGGTAGCGATCCGGGTACTCGACGAGGACGTTCGCCGTGTTTTCCGCGAAATTGATTAATAATGTCGCCGTGAGCGATGAGATTCCGGGAGATGCAGTTTCGTCTTTCTCTCTCTCTCTCTGTCTCTCTCTCTCTCCCGTCAAACGGAATACGGAATTCGCCGCATGATGAAATTTGGCCACGTTCATGTTACCGAAAAGCCATTTGCCAGGGGAGAACGGGCACTCCCGGCGGAGCTTTTTCACCCTCCGACACGCGGCGCTTGCGCCACTCGGTCCTTCACCAACCCTCTCCCTCGCTATCTTCTCCTCTTTCCCTGTTTCTCTCTCTCTCTCTCTCTCTCTCTCTCTTCACCAACCCTCTCACATCTCTACCTTTCTCTCTTCTCGCTATCAGCCCCTCTCCACTTTGCATTCTCTACTTGGCGCGTGCGTATTAGCAACGACACCCTCTCACCCTCGCCGCCCCCCCTCCCATCCGTCTGCTTCTACCACCCCCTTTCTCTTGCACCCCCTCGTTAATCCAGGCGATGTACAGTTGTTGAGAAAAGTTCGTGTGCAGCCGCGATATTAATCATGCCGACTTTCGGCGAAGATCGACGGTGATGACGCGACACGATCAAGCGGGATGTTCGGACGGCCGGCGGAAACCGGTTCGCGCTTGAAAAAAGCACACACGGGAAAAAGTTCGGTCAATTCGAAAGCAGGAACGCGCTCCAGCGCTCGATCGCTTCGCATCCCTCGAGTCTGCGCCCCTTTTTTATCCCCCTTTTTAATCCCGCCATACCGCCGGCGGATACGGCGTTTGAAAGTTGGCAACCATTGTCTTAGCGACCCCTCGGCCGACGTCTCCCTAGTTTCCTATCCCCCCTTGCATTTTTCTCCTCTTTCTTCGTCTCCTCTCATCTCTCCGAATCAGCCGTTCTCGCGACGTCCAGCGCGCCTGTGCCCGCTAAATTTCGCCGTCCCCTTTCTCGAAACTCCTAGCGTTCTCCCTCGGTCATTCTCCAGCCCGTCGTCTCGGCCTCTCCTCTCTCTCCATCTCGCGCGCCGGATGTCGGAGGAAACAGGTGAAATATTGTCCGACCGCGATAAAAGCGACGGGATCCGCGCTCTCCCAACGTCGGCCACATATTTTTTTTCCCCGCAATTATCGACCGGTCCGTAAATAACCGCGGCCGCGTTGCACGGATTATTTATAATTATAGATCGTCCATATTCGTCGTTCGCCCTCTTCGACAACTCGGTGGTGACCGTCTCTTGAGATGCACCAATTACGTGAAACATTAATTCGCAGCACGGTGTAACTAAATCGAACCAGACGGGCTCCGCCAGAGGACCTCCTACGGACTATATTGAGCCTCCTAAATTTAGAAAATGTCACCAGGTCTACGTATCGATCGCGTGACCGCGATTCGGATATCGTATCTCTTTTTCCCGGTGCGGCGACGCAAAATCCGCCGGTCAGAACGTTTCCCGGCGCGAACCGCAGTAATTTGCGGGATGACCAGGCGCGAGGGGCGCTTCCCGTGTTAACCCGGCGCGATCGTCCTAATCAATAATCCCCGCCGGTGTCATCTATCACGACGGGGCACGACGTCTCCCGCGCGCGCATAATGACTGGAAAAAAAAAGTCCCTCCATAGCTGCGCCGCGATGCGCGCTCGATGTTTGGAAATATGTGCATCGGAGCAACGCACAGGACCAACCGACCGACCGAGCGACCAACCCCCGGCGATCCGCGGAGGGTGCAGGCCGCGATCACGCTTGCGCGACCTCCCTGCTCTCGACTCCTCTCCGCGCCACCCTCGCGGACCTCTTCCGCTTTCGCATCCCACGACCTCTCCCCGTCGCCCATGAAACACCGCCGAGAACGGCGTCTGCGTACATCGCCAAGCTCCGTCGACCGAGCTTTTTCGCGATTCTTTACCTCCCACCCTCGCGACGGAGGTCGCGAAGACGGTGGGGGTGCGCGTCGGCGGCTACGGGTGGCCGGAGGGTGCAGCCATCGGCATCGGGGCTCGGCCCTGTCAGTTTAGTTACCGCACCACATAAAGGCATTGCGTTGTAGACACCGTTATACCCGCAACATTCTTACTATTTGCTTGCATATCTCCTGATTTCTAACCCTTCAATTCGGCAAAAGGAAAGAATACACTCGGTTTCGGTATCGTTCGTCGTTGTTCGTCGTCGTCGTCGTCGTACAACACATTCGCCGCCATCGCCGCCCTGTAACATTCGGTTGTCCCACTGCTTCGTTCCCGTCCACGTGTCGATCGAGTGACGTCGCGTCCTCGTCGCCGTCGGCACACCGCCACCGAGGAAAGATACCAAGAGACAGATACACGAGTCCCAACGGGAGTCTCGCGGAACGGCGGATGTCGGATGCGGCGAGAGATAAGCCCGCCTGGCTCGGCAATCGTCCGAAGATACTGAGCTGAGGAGCGACTGCCGCGTTCTTCCCTGTCTTATGATTTTGTTCGTCGCCCGATCCCGTTCTCCGTTCACCCCGTCACCCCGCGAGGAGCCGCTCCTCGTTCGTTCCGATCGCTCGTCCTCCTCGACCCACCGATCCCTCCGACAGTCGCGTCGCGTTGATTTCCACGAGGACTCGTGAACGGATCAACGCGGAAGACGGTGCGCGATTTTCTCACGCGACGGAGAAAGAGGGAGGAAACGAAAGTTAAGCGCGCGTTAACGAGAAAGAGAGAGAGAGAGAGAGAGGGAGCGAGGGAGCGAGGATCGTCAGCTGGAAGATCCTTTATTCGGCAGAAGAGGCATCGGCAAACAGAGAGATCGAGCGAACAAGCGAGAAAGAGAGAAAGAGGGACAGATATAGGAGAGGGTCCTCTGTCGAGGGTGGGAGTGCAAGAGAGAGAGAGAGAGAGAGAGAGAGGGACTACTGGGTGTGTTCGCGAGATTTGTTTATCTCCCGTCGCGCGCGAGATACGCGCGAGGAGCGCGCATAAATATTCGAGAGTGCATCTCGCGTATGATCCATCCGGGATCCTGCGAATCCTCGTTCGGCGTGAGGAGCGTGGAGCGATGAGGAGGGGTTAGTGTACGTGCCGTGTGGGACTCGATACCGGGACTCTCGTACGACGATCGGAAGCCGGCTTCCTCCTCGTTGCTCGCGTCAGTTCGGACCCTCGTGATTGCGCCGTGAGAGATTCGTCATCGTCGTCGTCGTCGTTCTAAGGAGGACACGGATAAAGAAACACGGAAAAAGAAAAGCGAACGAAAGAAAGAAAGATTCACGCACACGCGCCGCCGTTTAAAGTCCGAAGAATCTCGTGCGATAAAGAGTTAAGAGAAACACGTAACGGGGGAGACGAATATCTAGGGAATATAGAGAAATAAAAGTTAATTAAAACAAAAAAAAATAACCCACCGTCGTTCCGTTCTGCGCCCAGATATCGGCATCCTCCAACCACTGATTTTCATCGTTAACCGGTATGTTCATTTGTTTCTTTACTTTCGTTGTTTCTGTGATTCACACGACTTTATCATTATCGTTATTATTATCTTGTTATTATTGTTGTTATTATTGCCGTCGTTATGATTATTGACTGATTACCAGCGGTCCGCGTGCGCTCGATTGATCGCACGCCGGACCGGTCGCCGATCTTTACGTATGTATACTTTCTCGTCCTTCGTGCCGGGGTGCCCCCTCGTGCGCGAGGAGGCGCCCTCCGGCATCGCTTAGGTTCTCCATCCACCCTTTTTACGTCCCGAGATCTCCGGTGCTCCCGCCGCTTCGCTTCCGCGTTCGCGCTGCGTGCAAAAGTCGACCAGACGTTCGTCGTTCACCGTGTGTTCAATCTTTTATCGCACGATAACACGAAGTAAAATTTCCCACGAATTGATCGCGAAGTTACAGACAGATTGTGAAGCAGCGAAAGTGCGAAGTTGCGATGGAAATGTCCGCATCCGTCAAACGAAACGTAGGAAACACGTTCCGCGCGCGACAAGAAGAAATGAATTTAAGAAATCCTGGACGTTCGAAGAGCCCTAATTTCGCCTGACCGTCAATCGTGTTGCGATTTTCTCCCGTTCTTACACGCTCGCGATCTTAAACTCACGGGAGATCTCGATCTCGACGTTTCCGACCGAAAATTATCTCACGCCGCTCGAAGCTTCGCTCGCGCGCGGCGGCGATTGCGTGATTTCGCGCAAGGAGCGCATACGCGAAATACCGAAAGCGAAACTAGACATCGGGACTCGTTAACCGAGCGAAGTTGCATCAAACGTCGATCAGCCGCCATAACAACCGCGAGCGTTGCGTCAAGCAGCTGACGTTTTCCACGGCGCAATATTGTTGTGTGCACCAGACCGCTATCTGGGCGTGGCACCAGAAAGCGACTGTCGCGGGAGCACCACGTCGCAACACACACACGTCTACGCACACATAATCGTGCGAAATACATACGATGGACATATACAGGCATACCGTACACATACACACACACGCACACATACACGCGTACACTGCCTCTTCCTGCCTCTCTCGATCCGACCCTTATCGATCCCGCAGGAAAAGAAAGAAAGAAAGAAAGGAAAGAAAGAAAGAAAGCAAAAACGGCAAATCGAGAGAGAGATAAAAAATTCAGTAGCGAGGACGGCGAGCGTCGTGATGCATGAAGGATCAAACAGGTCCGGGATGGAGCGACCGGCACTGCGGGTCCTCGTCGAGGACAAGCAGGATGTCTCGAGAGGGACACTTCCGTCCGCGACGGCCTCGATCACAATGGTGCGTGAGCCAAAGACAGGGGAGAGATAGATGATATAGCTGTGGGGGCGGGGAATTGATTGATTAATTGACTGATTGATTGAGCGCGCTTTTTCCCGCTTGCCTTATTCGACGAACAACGAAAGCTTGGAAGCTTTTCCGGATCCCGCGATGACGAAGAGCTTCGCGGGAGATTTCGCGTCTCTCGAGGTCGCGAGGATGGAGAGAACAGAGACGAGGTCTCGCGCGCGAGAGCTCCTTTCGTTCCTCACGCGCGAATTTTTTCCCCTGTCCTATGCAATTGACGTTTACGCGAGGTACGCATGTAAGACCGTCTTATCATTTTCCCATCGCGCTCGCATATTTACCGAAGCGATTTGCATTCGCGATAAGATCGCTGCCGGGGGCACATGGCAGGAATAAGTGAAAAGTGTCGGGAAACGTCAGCCACGGCTGATTAATGGGCTTCGTTTTCTACGCGCTCGGCCGTAGGATTCACGAGCGAGAGCCGAAATATCAAAGATTGGCCGCGATTTTGCATAGGGTGGACGAGGTATTGGTGCTGGTGGTAGTAGTGGGAACCACGGGAGACGAAGATAGAGTTACGTTCGGCGAGAGGGTGCGACTGAAAAGTGCACCATGAGAGACGGGTAAGAGGGGGAGGGAGAGAGAGAGAGAGGGAGAGCGAGAGACTAGGTCTAGTTGGGGAACCTCGTATTGATCGTTCCTGGGTCCATGTGACGCGCCTGCGTTTTACTACGGGGTAAAATCGTAGTGAGGGTAAAGAGAGAGAGAGAGAGAGAGAGAGAGAGAAAGCGAGACGGGGAAGGGTAAGGGAGGAGGTAACGAAGAGAGAAGCGTATATATCGGGGTTCATATACCCCCAGGGTAGCTGCAACGTTCCGCTGTGCCACCGACCAATCAATGGAGCTTCTCCGTACTTCTCTGTGTCTGCCTCTCTCTCTCTCTCTCTCTCCCCGGCTCTTCCTACATCGAACATACAATATGATCTCCCTGTAAAATAGCGCACAGACGCACTCGTAATACACATACACACACACGCACACGCGCGCTCATTGTGCGCACGTTCGATATAACGCGCCGCGGATGTGCGCCAACGACCACGTAATCGTGCTCGAAATAGGAAATATGCAGTAAATTTTCACGCGAGCTCGACGACGCGGGGGTAATTCATCGCGACCAACGGCGAAATTGACGGCGGAGTCTCACCTGCAATTCGCGAGTTCCGAATATCGTGAGGACATTTCAAGAGACGGGATTCAAGCTCGAGTCGGCCGTGATCGGTCGTGTCTCGTGGCGAAAGGTGATACGTTAAACTCGGAGGTTTAATTAGCGAGGGTTAATTACCCGCGATCGTCGCGGGGATCCATTCGCAAACGGTACCGAGGCTTCGATTTAGAGCGCGCGCGTTTCACCGACGAGTCATTCAGCCTGTGAAAATGGGCGAGAAATTAATCGCCTGTAATCTCGGCGCCACACGACGCCACCGAATTAACGAGGCTACCTTTAGGAAGAGAAGGGAAAAAAAAAGTTGCTCGCTTAACCATAGGGCTGCGCGCGCGTTCGAGCAGCGATCGCTCGCAGGTAGAGAAACGTCCTTCGATCTCGCCGGTGTACTGAATTTTGACCCTCAGATGTCGAAAATAACACTGTGTCGACATTTACATTTAAATGAAGACGCCCACGGACGAGGGGGAGGAGCACGGAAAGATGAAAGAAGACAATTCGACTGTGTGGATGAGCGCGACGGGCGCACGTTATCGCGCGGAGAATGACATAACTAAGAACAGGGTGTGGTTAACGAATTACAATCGGGATTCCGCGACAATGTCTAAACGCAGGGCTATTTTCGGACGGGGACGTTCGGTAGGCTGTTACGGAATTCGCACGGTGTCTCTAGATACTTCCGCTAATCCGTAATCGCCGGCGTTAAAAACTTTCTCGCCTAGTCGCGCGTCAGAGATGTCGAGCGGCATTTCGCATGCTTCCGCGAATTAATTCAGCGCGCGCTATAAGCTCTTCCCGGTGCGGCCTCTTCTCGCCGCATAGCGGTGGCTCGTTATTTCCCGGCTGAATCTCCCCCGTCGATCGCGATCGACGGGTCCTCGCGTGGGAGGGTAAAACCATCGAGTTTCAGCAGTCGTCTTGCGACTAATTCGACGAGCGAACGATCGGCGCATCAGTCGGGCGCAATTGACGCGCCGATCCTTGAGAGCGTTTGCAATAATGTAAGTAGAAGTTAAAGTCCGTCCCGTGTTGGTGTTAAATCGGTTTCGCGTGACACTCACGAGCGTTCCCGGTATTTCTAAATAACTTCGCGCTCTCCGTCGCAACGTCGTGCATAGCGGCCGGGATCGATTTCGAGCACGAGTATCGACGGGAATCTCGTTAGGGGTTCAGTGAACCCCGAGAAAAGTTGCCGGGCGGAATTATTGTTCCCAAGGTATGGCCCCGTGGAATTACGCTCGCTGTGCGCGGCAGATCGATGAGGCCGGGCCAACCCCCGAAAACGCAACTTCGACAGCTGGATCGTGACTAAACTAAAGAGGGTGAGGTCGGCTATGTCGACACAGGAATGATTCACAGACTAGCCACGTGCTCGCCGGCGTGCTTGCATATTTTAAAATCCTCAAGAACAATCCCTGACCGCGCTGCGCGACCGTGCTTTCGCGTTCACCCGAGCCGCTCATTAGTCGCTGGCATTTTGTCGGAGTATGGACCGCACATAAGATCGATGGGTTAATCAACGCGGACCGTCGTGATAACAGTGCCGTGTGATTTCACGCGATTAGAATCTTAGCTGTCTTCCTATATTTTAATACATTAAGTCTTCAAGGGGGAGAAAATGGAAGTGAGTTCCTATTTGTAGCGTCAAAAGGGCACGATAAACATTACTTTGACGTTACATGCGCAAGTTTAAACGTCCCAAGTCTAAATTTTAGTTCCGCATTAAATCTTCAAACGGAGAAGACTTCCCCATTTGTAACATCGAAGGAGCACAACAGAAGATTTTCGGGAGGACTTAATGTAGAACTAAATTAGATTGAAAATAATTCGACTTGGGTTCCACTCCATTTTCACAGGAACGTTACCGATTGCGGAAGAATACGCGATTGATGCGGAGATGAGATTCGCTGTTAGTGTACATTTTCAGAGGTGGGAAGGATATATTTCCGCGAGTTCTTGCGCGATCGGTACAGCGGATGAGGCCCCCGTTTTCATTAATGTCGGTCGTCGTGAGGTGTTCCTTGACGTTAACATTAACGATTCTGTGCAACGGTTGATACGATCAGATCGTAAATCAGAACGAGGCCCGCTTGACCGTTGGGCCTCGCACGTTTCAAAGAGTTTAAAAAGAGACCCGCTCGATTCGGGGGAAGGGGTGAACTTCATACAGCGTGCACGCACGCACGTACTCGCGCACGCATGTACGCGTGCACGCCACTTCTTTTTCGCATACATCCCGCATCTGTTAGCCATGCCCTAGTCTAAACTTTATCCCCTTTTGTTCTTGACCGAACGTTATAGGTTCGCCAACGGCGAACGTTAGGTATGGTCATGGGCCATGCGACTCGCGAAGAATTTTTCACGACGCCGTCTTTCCCCCGTAACTTCTCCGAGAGGGTGCCCGAGGATGATCTCTTCCGCGTCGTCGTTACGAGTTCGTCGAGACGACTCTGATAATCGCTTCGTCGCCACCGAT